TCTTCCAGGCAGGTTAGCTAGCTGGACTAGCCAGAATCGCAAGCCCCAGGTTCAGCGAGAGAGTCTGTTTCAATAGAGAGCCATTGAGCAAGACACCTGACATCAACCTCAGACCTTCACACTCAGGTACACACATGTGAGTATGCATACATATAAACATGCACATGACATAGGCATGCACACCACATACACGCACACAAATAAAAAAAGAAAAGTATTTTATATTAACATTCACACTGAACACAGACTCACTCATGAGCACACATACTACATATTCATGTGCTTTTACACATACTTTGCATGCATGCTCACACACCTGTGTACACAGCCCCACACAGAAGCGAGCATCACTACCCTTCTGAACACTTCAAAAGCACTCTGCCATTTTCTGCAGAGTATGGTATATGCGGCGGCCCCTGGCATAATCCCCGGTGGGCCACACAACCTAGACTATTTACTCTGGTTCTTTACAGAACCAACCTCCAACTCCACTCTACTTTCTCCTATTATTTTTCTTCTAATATTACCCTGTTCTGTTCCCTTCTGTCCTGCTCTGTCCCATGCCATTTCATTAAAAAACTGCCCAGCCCCTGGATAGTGACTGCCAAGGCTTCAGATCTTGGTGTGAATTCCCTTCATAAGAGACAGCAAACCTCTTACACACGATGCTCCAGCTCAGCAGTGTCTCCCCTTGAAGCCCCAGAGTCCCTAAGCAATGTCCCCTCTTGGAGTCCCCAGCCGAGACTGGAACAATGGCCAGCCTGCCTGTCAAGGCTGGACTGAAGAGCACTGGGCGCCCTGCCACAGCGTTATCCCTATGGACTTTAGGGACGTGCTGGGTATTACGACATCAGTGACAAGGCAGTGCCCACTCATGCTGTCCTCGGGACCCAGTGGAGCCTGGCCAGGGGAGCTCAGCAAATGTGGTACCCCAAATCCCTCCATGACCCAACACTGGCCCTGGCCACAATGGGACTCCCATCTACACCCCATCCGGTGGTCCCCAAAGCGGCCAGGCCCCCCTCCTCCTACAGGTTGTTACACTGTGCCACTGGTTGACGACCTGCTACGGCTCCTCCTAGACGTGACCCCCAGTCCCGACAGAGTTCCTTGCTCGATCTAGGCATAGGCTGGATGCCTCCTAAGCTATGGTTCTGTGCCCCAACTTAGCAGCTGGGAGCTCCCCATAGGCTCCCCCTCCACTCCCTTGAGGAAGTCCATCCCCTACGCAGGGCCCCAGTACATGGCCAGTGCTCTCTCTGTGGCCTCTGCATCCCTGGTGGCTGGGAATGGGGAGGGTGTCTGGATGGCTTCCCAGAGCCACGGCAGGGTAAGTGGAAAGCACCTCCCTTTGTACACAGGCTGGTTTCTGAGTGGCTGAGGAGGGACAGACCAGGTATGGAGCTCAGGATCAGCTGCCTGTCTGCCTTGTGTGCAGGCTTCTGTTTCCTAGACTTACCGAGCTGCTGTTTTACCAAGAGACCCAGGTCTCAGGGCAGGATTCCCCCACACCATCCCTCCGCACCAGTCAAGGCATCACCTCGCTCTGCCGCAAGGGGACTTCCCTTTCAGAGCTGTGGCAATGTGCATCTGAGCCTGGCTCCATCTGCACGCCATCTCTCAGGCGACACATCTTGTTCTGCATCCAGCCACTGCTCTGACCCATAGACTAGAGCCCCGGTAGCCTGTGCGAACCCTGTCAATTGCCTGCCTATATGTTAACCCCCACTCTGGATCTGCATCCAAGGCTGGTGCTGTCATCCAGGCTCTGTACACGGTCTTCCTTGCACCCACCGTAGGAAATCAAATGGGCTCAGGGGAACAAGGTCACGGGGAAAAGTCAATGCTCAGGAGGTACCCTCTGCCCAGCCCTCTCTGCCCTAAGAGGCCTTTGTGTACTTTCCCTCCAGGATGGTGGTAAATTTCTCCTGCTGCCCAAGGAGGTAGCTTCAGTGGCTCCCACTTCACAGATGTATCAGAGAAAGTGTGTGGTCTGCCCAAGGTCTTCTCATGCCCAGGGTAGGAGAGAATGGAGGCTTTGGAACCTCAGCCTCACCTCATCCCTACAGGAAGCTCTAGATCTGGGAACAGGGGACACAATGTAGAGTCCCCTCACTTTGCCCCACTGCCCCACTGCCAGGCACACCAGTTCATTTCAAGAGAAATGTCCCCATCTGGTTCTAATTCATTTATCCTTAATTAATCAAAGTGTTTTGTAAGAGACACTTGAGGTCCAAGAACCCCTTTCAAGCCTTTGCTTTCATTCTGTTTTGCAGAAACAGAAAAATTAGGTTTCATAAAAAAAAAAAAAAAAACAGTGATGACGCTGGAGCCAGAGGAGCCCAGGTCCATGAGAAGTGGACCCCAAGGGAGGCAGTGCAGACCAGGCTGGGGCAAACAGGTCCTTCCCCATGGTTGGACACTGGGCCAAAGACTGAGGTCAAGGGCAGGGTGTGGAGGAGGAGGCAGCTCAGGAAAGCAGGGAAGGGTGAGAGCCTTCCGCTGGCTTGGATGTCTTAGCTTAGCACCGTCCGGGCGTTTAACACAACCTGGCAGGGAGGCTGCTCTGCAATACCACGTGAATAGATGAATTAGTGTGTGAGCGATCGAGCAAGCAAGACACTACCAATATCCAAGCATCTACAGAACACATTCTCTCGCCAAATCAGATCAGAGGGCCAAAGTCGATGAGACCCTGGGGACCATAGACACAACCTTCCAAGACATGTCTGAGAAATGGTCCTCATGTGTATGTCTAGGTTTGAGAAAGGTCAGCCCCTCTGCACCACCTCTTCCTGGGCTCTGATAAACTGCACGGCCAAGAACTCTGCCAAACCCCACCTTTCCTAAACCTGCTTGGTCATGATAACTGTGACTCCCTTGCAGAGCAGGCTCTAGGGTTGTGTAGCCTCTACCACTTTGCCAGTGGAGAAACTGAGGCCGTGGGCCGAAGCAGAGGAGAAATCCTCTCATCCAAGATCACATGGCATGAATGGGTCAGGAGAAGGACTGAAGCCCAAGGCTTTGCATCACATGAACAAAGTCACAACCTCACTAAAGATGCCTGGCAGGTGTGCGCACCTGAGGCTCAAAAGCAGCATCTTCATCCAGCTGGACCAATGAAAGGAGCATCACTCTGCTCCCAAGTTCCTGAGGAGGTGCTAGTGAGCTGGGCTAAGAGGAAAAAACAAATTATTGTCATGCCCTCCCCATCCTCTTCCTTTCATCAGTGAGAATCATCTTAAAAGTCTAGTTCCACTCCCCTCCAGAGAGGTAAACTGAGGTTCTGAGAAAGGAAAACCAACCCAGCTCACAGGATCTCACAACACCCTATCATCTTAGATCTGAGATGCTAAGCATCTGCTGTACAGCCTTAGACAAGTCAATTTCCCTCCCTGAACTTGTTTCCTCTCCCTGCATTCACTGTAAGTAGCTAACCACGCAACAGACAAGAAACTGGGATGATTGATGGTGACAAGCACCGTGGGGTGCCCTCGTAGGGAGCGAACCCTCTAGCTCACTTCCTCATAGCCATGGTCCTCCTGATGAAGGAGACTGAAGTGTATTGCTCCCATTTTAAAGACAAGCCAGTGAAAGGAAAGGATTTTAAACATCGTTTCAGAATGGAGAAGCATCTTGGAGGACCAATGTGAAGGATCTCACACAGGTAAACCTTAAGTCCTGGGTGCCTTCCCCGGAAGTCTCACTCAGCTGGAGCCTTCAAAGGAGGGATGTGCATCCAGACAGACTGACTCCAGCATCTGGGCTCAGGGAAGGCCACTCACAAAGGGACACCTTCAGGATCCCCAAGTCCCTGCAGCCCACCCGAAGTCCATCTGCCTCTCTATTCTCTCTGTCCCTTTGTCCAGCTTTCTTAGAGGCTGGACCCCTCGGCCACGGCCTGCTATCCTACCTCATACCTGCTCTCCCACAGCCCCTCTGTGCACCGGCTCCCTTACAGGGGCTACAGCAGCAGTGTAAGGCTTTCCATGAAGATGGACTGGAAGCCCTAAGGGCAAGGTCATTCTCATGCACTCCCATTCAGTATTCTTGGACCCAGGCTCTCAGCCAGAGAGAACAGATCAGAGCTTCCACCTGCCTATGGGACCGCTCAGCAAACCAACCTGCATGACCTTTGGGTTCCTGCTCTACAGAGTACGCCAGCCCACTCTGTCATCAGGTCATCATAGGGATGTGCGGAGACAGTGTGTGGCAGCCTCTTGGCACCGTGGTCAGCCTCTGGCTGTTGATTCACGGAGAAGCATCCAGGGTACTAGGACCTGCCCCGTTCAGGCATAGGGCTTGCTACTCCTCTTGCGCTCCCTGACAGCACGGGGTCTACCAACTCCATCTCTGCAGGGGCAGTCCCAAACTCACCTCCTAAAGACATCTGACTGTGGCACTGAGGAACTGTGGCACAGGACCCCAAAGACAATGTTTTCAGGGCCCAGTTAGTCTCAGGTTCAGGTTTCCTATTGGCTCCAGGAGGTCCCAAAGGGGGGGAAAAAAATCCCAAGGCTCCTAGAGAGGACAAACTTCTTCCAAGTCATCCAGAAGAGAACACCAGAGAGGCTCACCCAGATCACTTCTGGGGGTGCGGGGGGGGGGTGACAGCAGGAGTCAGGGGCAGCGAGAGAGCCCCATGTGGGGCCGGGAGCCACTGCTCTTGATATAACCCTCTGGCCCACGGAGGATGCTTAGGCTGGCTTCTAAGCCTCTAGCTCTGTCTTCTAGTGCCTTGGTCCCAAGGATGGTTCCTTAGGTTTTTGGTGTGTGTGGAGTTATCCACCCTTGGGACACTGCTGGGAGGGCTGGGCCAGTGAGCTCGACCACTAGCCCCTTCCCTCCGTGCAGTGCTTCTTGGGTCCAGATTGTTCGACAGCTCCCTGTGCTGACCCTGAGTTAATAGCTCAGGCGTCTAGCACCAGACAGATTCCCACCAGGCTACCACCAGCCTGCCTCCTAGCGCCTACCCCAACACAGTCCGGCCACATCTGTACCTTGCTTCTTCCTCCGGTGCAGGGCGAGCATGTCCACCGCGTGGGCGACGAGCAGTAACAGGCAGAGTGGCGCCCGCATCTGGGCAGCCTGGTGCTCCTGGCGCCCGAGCGCCCCGACGGCCCGGCAGCCGCTGTGCGGGGACGGCTTGTGGCACGCGTTGCGCATCCGCGGATTGCTGGTCGCTGCGGCCACCGGGGACCCCGCCGTGCGCCCAGGGCGCGGTGGGTCGAGTGAGGGCTTCAGCGTGGCCGCGCGGCTGGGGCGGGGAGGAGCCGGCGGCTGGGCGGCGCTTAACCCTCGGGGGGCCCGTGAGGGTGCTGGCGGTCCTGCCCGCCCCACGCAACCCCACGCCCCACGCACGTGCACAGGCCGACTGCAGGTACATCCACGCCCACGCAATACCGCACACCCACCCGTTCAGACCCTCCAGCAGCACCCTCCCTCTGCCACTTCTGGTCTCCCCCGCCCCGTGCCCCCAGGACCCTCCTGAGTTGTTTTTCTGTTCCAACCGTTTGTCCCCTGACTGCTTCGCCTCCAACACTCCACTCTTGCCAAGAGCTAGGCCCCTCTCTGGCGCACGCACGGGTTCACACCTGGCTCTCTGGTGCCCAGCCCTCTCCATCTCTTGGCTCTCGGGGGGGTTGGGGGTGTAAACTGGGCTGCTCCACTCTCTTTTCTTTCCAGATGTCCCAAACACTTTCTGGTCTGCACCCTGAGTGGTTCCTACTGCAGCCTCGGGGCGCCCCTCTTCTTTGACCCCGAGTCAGAATCTCATAAATTTGCTTAGGAAGGGGCCTGGGACCTGGAGTGTTTCTTATCTCCGGGATTGGGTTAGTTTTAACAGTTTGAGTGCCAAATTACTCCTCCATAAAACAGTACTCTCCTGCCTCCTGTGACCCTGTGAACCAAGTCCAACCGCAGTGAAGCTGCCACAGAGATGTCTGAGACCCATGGGCTTGGCCTTCTGCTAAACACTTTATGTGAGTTAAAAGCTTCAGAACAGCTAACTTCCTATTTTGACTAACTACACATTCCAAAGGAGAAGAGGTTCTCAGAGAGACCAAATGATTTGCCCAAAACTACACAGTAGGTCGGTAGCCTTTCAGCCACTTCTTCACACACAGTCTCATCACAGAGGGAGTGGAGAGAGCCTTGGAGGCCCAAAGGACAATCAGCTTTCCTGTTTGCTGCAAGTGTGACTTGATAGAGGTCCCAAGGCTGGCTGTCTAACCCCTACACCCCCCCATCCCCCACCCCACCCCTTGCCCCCAGCCTACATGCACGGGCCTGCCCCTGGCCAGCTGCAGGTAAACACTGTGGCTCTCTGCCAGGGCCCTCTGATTGTGATGTCTCTGATTTCTCCCTTTCATCCCAAGTCTCCAACTTCTCACCATATTTTTCAAGTTTCTCAAACCTCTTATACCTGTGTTTTGTTTTGTTTTTGTGAGACAGTGCCTTATGTATTCCAGGCTAGCCCAGAACTCACTGTGTAGCTAAGGATGACCTTGAACTCCTGACCATCTTCCTTCCACTTTCCAAGTGCTATCATTACATGTCTGTAATACCACATCTAGCGTCCCCTTACATCCTGAGTATTTCTTGCCCTGGCTTCCTCATGGAGTGGTGACTGAATCCCACTTCTCTTCTCCACTGACTCTTTCAGGACCCAGTCATGGTTTGACACCTCTCCAGGAAGTTGTCCCTGATTCTTAGCCCAGTACCTCTTCTGGGCATCCATAATTCTCCATTATAGATGTCTTAACACAATGGTAAGCACAGACATTTCTGTCTCTTCCTTTGCCCCAGCTACCATGCCTCCTCTTGGTTCCCACTCTTTTGTTGTTGTTGTTTTGTTTTTTCTAGACAATGTTTCTCTGTGTAGCTTTGCGCCTTTCCTGGAACTCGCTTTGAAACCAGGCTGGCCTCGAACTCACAGAAATCCGCCTGGCTCTGCCTCCCGAGTGCTGGCATTAAAGGCGTGCGCCACCACCGCCCGGCCGGTTCCCACTCTTTAGGTATAGGTCCTTTACAGGGCTTTTGTTGTGTCTCTGCCTGGAAAATTCTTCCCCTGGTCCCTTCAGAACTTGTCTCCAGCATGGCCTCCTCAGAAGCCCTCTCCCATCCTTGCAGAAGTACAGGGCACTCACTCCACCTTATTTTCCTCTGCTCTCCACAGTACCAGGAACCACTGGCCTGCTTTTGCCTGCAGCTTGCTTGCTTGTGAGTTACACAGGGTAGCAACCATCTGTGTATTCACCATGTGCCCAGTGCATAAAATGATTACTCTATATTTTTGAAATGAATAAAAGTATGAATGATCGAGATAAATAAATGAATGGTTGAGCATTCATAAATCCCAAGATTCATTGTGGGATCTTGTGGTGGTCTGAATGAAAATTTCTCCCACAGGCTCAGATGTTTGAGCACTTGGTCCCAATTGGTGGTGCTGTTGGAGTAGGTTCAGAGGTGTGACCTTGTTGGAGGAAGCATGTCACTGGGGGCTTGCCTTGGGGTTTAAAAGCCACACACCACTCCCAGCCCTCTCTGCCTCCTGTTTGCAACCTGTGATGTGAGCCCTCAGCTCTCAGCTTCCAGCAGCATCCACATGTCTGTCATGCTGTTTCCACCATTATGGACCCTAAAAATCTGGAACTGTAAGCTTGTGGTGGTATTGTGTTCCCCAAAATATTGTGCACCCTAATAAACTTATCTGGGGTCAAAGAACAGAACAGCCACTAGATACAGAGGCTAGAAAATGGTGGCACTCACACCTTTAATCCAGCATTCCAGAGGCAGAAATCTCTCTGGATCTCTGTGAGTTCAAGGCCACATTGGAAACAGCCAGGCATGGTGACACACACCTTTAATCCCAAGAAGTGATGGCAGGAAGCAAAAAGATATATAAGGCGTGAAGACCAGAAACTAGAAGCTTTTGGCTGGTTAAGCTTTTTGGCTTTTAGCAGCAGTTCAGCTGAGATCCATTCGGATATGAGGACTCAGAGGCTTCCAGTCTGAGGAAACAGGATCAGCTGAGGAACTGGTGAGGTGAGGTAGCTGTGGCTGGTTCTGCTTCTCTGATCTTCCAGCATTCACCCCAATAACTGGCCTCAGGTTTGATTTTATTAATAAGTACCTTTAAGATTCCTGCTACAGGAAGCCCAAATAAACCCTTCCTTCTATAAATTGCCTTGGTCATGGCGTTTTATCACAGCAACAGAAAAGTAACTAATCGCCCAACAATTTCCTAATCTTGTGAGCCCAGTGAACCCTCTGGGGTCTCCAGAATCTGAGTTTGAGGATTTAAGTCTCAAACTCAGGATCTCTTTCCTCCCTTAGATGCTCAGAGGGGTTGGTGCTATCTCTAGGGGGTTGTATGGGCATCTCAGCCTGCCATTCAGACCTTCCCCCAGTACAGCTACCCAGGGAGGGCATTAAGGCTGGGGATGCTGGTGGTCTTTCTAGGAGCTGTGGGCCTGAGGCTATTACTCAGGGACCACTGGGCACTGTCAAGAATAGTGGCTTACGGCATTTGATCCCAGAAGAAATCCTCTTAGACTGAAGGGCTCAGGCTTCCTCCCTCTTCCACACAGCAGCCCGTCCTCAGCCACAGTTTCAAGTGATGTCAGTTGACAGAAGTCTGCAAATATAAAATGGAAAATTATAGAAACAAGTATTCATAAGTGTGAAATTGTGCCAAGTTTGGAGTAATGCATTCCTCTTGTTTAATCTGGTCCTGGATTCGAATCGTACCATTTTCTAGCGTATCTGCTCTATATATATCACCTTCCTGTTAATCACTGAGTTGACTAGGCAGTGCTTGTGTTCAAGTCACAGTTATGTCATTTATTAATAGTCCCAAGTGGTGGTGTCACCACACCAGTGATTCACATCTGCCAGAGAAACCAGAAATGCTTCCTTTAACTAGAAAGACAAACATAAAATAAACTATCTTGGGGGTGGTATATTGTATTCATTTGACTTTTATTACACTATATTGTTACATTTTTCCCCTCTTTTTATTTGCTTGTGTTGTTAACCTTGTACCATGTCTGACTTATAAGTTGAATTTTATCATAGGCTGGATGTATAGGAAAAGCAATATGTGTGTGTGTGTGTGTGTGTGTGTGTGTGTGTGTGTGTGTGTGTGTGTGTGTTATGCTTTGTTTCAGACATGCACTAGTCATCTTGGGGGTATGTGTCTTGGAAAAGGGGCACTACTCTACATGGTTTCAAGTTTCCTGAGATGGCAAAGGCTTATGGAGAGGATAGAGCTGTTCATTTATGTCCTGTTGACAGGAACTCTGCTTCCCTGCAAGGGTGCCTGGGAAACGTAGTCTAGTCCAGTAGCTGGAGTCCACATAGTAGACGGGAAGAGTGGGTGGATATCTACAACCAGAACACCTGGACTTCCCATCAGGCCAAGCACAAGCTCCCCAGAGCCACTCGATGGCTCCTGCTCAGATGACCACCAGCCCAGCTTTGCCAGGGATGGCATTGTTTCCAGAATGCTGTGTTATCTCACTGCAGGGAGCTTGGTTTCAGCATCACCACAGTCAAGATTCCTAACAAAGCCACCACCACAGGACTCCCACATGGTACCCTCATGGCTCTGCCCTTCCTCTCCCTCCTCAGCACTAATCCCTAGCAACCACTCATCTGTTCTCCATCTCTGTAATTATGTTGTTACACAAATATTATGTAATGGGATTGTGAAGTGTGTACAGTTTGAGACCGGCTTTCTGCATTCAGCATAATTTCCTTGAGAGTCACCCCAGTTTGCCCGTGCGCTACAGTTGGCTGCTTTTTATCTCTGAGTGGTCTTCCGTGGTGGTGGGTACCAAATGTAGTCACCCAGCAGTTCACTCCGTTAAAGGCATTTGTATTTTCAAATGTTGCTTATTATGAATAAAGCCACTGTCTGTTTTTTTTGTGTACTAGATAAAAAATGCTGTGTTGGATATTGTGATTTTTCAAATGTTTTCTCCTGCTCTGTAATTTGTCTTTTCATCTCCTTACCAGACTCTCTCACA